AATCCCAGTTTGAGAGGAGATTCCCTAGCCTTCTTCTTCCGTCATGTGATTTCTTCCTTTTTCGGTCAACTTTCTTTTTCTATCAGCTACTTCGAAGAGAGATGGCTAAGGATAGGAGTGGAAACAAAAATGAAAGTAACCTGTGGAGTTCCTCAGGGATCCGTATTAGGACCTACTCTATGGAACCTCTACTATGACAGCATCTTCAGTATCCAAACCCCGGATGGAGTCAGGCTAGTAGGCTTTGCTCCAAAGCAGTTCCAGAAAGAGCCACTTGAATGCTGAAGAGGGGTTTTAGTGGGTAGGCTGTGACAGAGCCATGGAGTCCCACACTTCGAGCAGGAGCGTTACCCTCAGGAAAAAAAACTACCGGGACTGCTATTCACAATGGATCTGTTGACTTTTCCTGTCTCAGTTTATACTTTTTCTTCTTTAAAATCCCAGTTTGAGAGGAGATTCCCTAGCCTTCTTCTTCCGTCATGTGATTTCTTCCTTTTTCGGTCAACTTTCTTTTTCGCAGTTTCTGTAGTAAGTGCTGGCTTTTTTCCATTTTTATTTCGTTTATGCAAAAATAATGCATTATTTAAATATGCTTTCACGCACCAATTTCAATCGTTTTACCAAACATTTTCCTTGTTTGTCAGTGACGGTTTATTTTGGTCAACCGACGTCTCGTGCCCGAGTGTCACAGTCACGTGCCGCGTTCAATAAAAACATCAAAGGGATGAGATAAATATTCCTGTCTCTCCCTCGTTCTCTTCAAAGGGTTGCCTCTCATTATGGCAAGTGCCGTATAATGTCTCTTTCACATTTAGCAGTATCGAGGCGCACAGATATCTGAATAATTTTTAATGCAAACTTGATTTACTGAAAGAATTGGAAACCGTCGTTGAATGGAAATGGCGCAGAGGAAAGTTTATCAGATTTTGTGATCAAAAGTTTGGTTGGATGGAGATGAAAGTTGTTTGAGTGAGATCTGATGTTTTTTTTTATAATAAAGAGCTGATTACGGTCTAAGATTGATGAAAACGAAGTATTTCTTGGTGTTATATCATGAAGTAATTCTTGGTCTTATATCATTAAAAGTGTCATCCACAACTGAAACGATTTTTATCGCTCTTAAAATTGACTTGAGTAAACAAACAAGGTTTTCCCAAGAGTGGACAGATTTGGTAGATTTTTTTGGGCTCAAAATGACAATCTCTGATTATACCATAGTTAACCAAAGATCCTCAACTTTGATAACATATTAACAAATGTTTTGAACTCTGACTATGTGGTGGGTATTGTCGATCCTTGCCTATCTGATCATTCTGCTCAATTCATTGTTTTAAAAAATCGTTTAAAGAATCGTTCGACAACAGACGGTAAGTTTAAGAGGAACATTACTAATAAAGGTATAGAATTGTTGAGAAAATCTCTGTCTGAGATAGATTGGAATCTTTTTTACAACATGAACTTACAAGACCTCACATCTAATTCAGTCAATACATATAGCTCAATGGTCCAAAAATACTTTCCTCTAAAAACTATCAGAAATAAAAAAGTCATCCAGTTAATTTCTTCACAAAAGAACTAGCGCAAATGAGAAACACCCTAGCCTCCATAAAAATTGTTAGTGATTCGTCTGGTGATCCCCTCGATAAACATACTTCCAATGTACTTGTGATATACTGTTTGGAACCTTTGGTGTAGTGATGAATAAATATTACTGGAGTTTTTTTTCCCAAAACCAAATCGTTATTTTTACACCTCGAAACGTGTTTCGATCACCAAGTGATCATCTTCAAGAGGAAGATAAAACTAATAACTACTCAAAACTAAAGCTACTTATACTAATCAGGTACATCATACAGGTAGGTAATCAGTAATACCACCCATACAAGTGTACCACCCTAAATTAATTTTACAATTGGCCTTTCTATT